TAAAATGCATTGAGTCGCGATGGATCCAGTGAACATGATTCACAGCGTACAAATAAAGAACCGAGAGCAAAATAAAAACAAAAAAATGAGAGTACTCGAAAGTGAGGGGAAAATACAAGAATCGAAGGGAACGGTTAATGATCATTTAAGGAGAAGCATGTCGGAGGTCTCAAAGCACTGAGTTGGCAGATAGAGACTGGTGTGCCGTAGAAAAGAATGCCCTTTTCTTCCCCTAATCGAGTCATCTAACAACCAACCTCGAGGGCTCATTCACTTAGGTGCGGCACTGGCAGGCACCGCAAGGCGAAGTGTGCGAATAGCAAAATTGATCCGATCAGCGTCATACGAGTACGAAAATCACGGAGTATTGTGACGGGAATGTTCACTGAATAATTCGGACAATGGATCAGAGGAGAGAACATAACGGATTCAGTTATTGGACGTAGCAGGCATAAATCTCCATCTGCGCGGCCCCGCTGATTGGTTGATGCTCATGTGCGTTACTGTGAGTTCCTAGACGTTTGTTTAAGTGAAGCAAATGAGGAACCGCATGGGCCCAAAAACGTCGTTGTGAATAGAAGCAAAAAACCCACTATAGATCATGGCGTTCTGTAGGTCGAAGGTGTTGGCATTTTGGCTGATTTGCACATGATGAGTAAACCGGTACCTCAAGGGAAAGACAATTGAGACAAACCCAAAGAGGGTCTTTGCCAGACAGCAAATGATACGACACCGGATTCATGTACTCAAAACTAGTGCCAGTAAGTAATTTAGTTGTTCTTACCTAACTGACAGTTTGTTTATTTTAGATGCGTATTTTGATGAGGGTTGCGGGGGTAGAGGTGATTGTAACGCTAGGTGGTGGGAGTCAACCAGGCAAGGTGTAATTGCCCTGATCTTAAATACGTGGGGGTATGGGCATTTGGGTTTCGCATTAGGTCAATCTTTCTCTATTCACCTCATTTATCGTCGGTAAAGTAATCAATGATGCAAGAGAGCGAAGTGTCGGTACTGACATATTGATGCCGCCGATAACGATGGGGACAAATATCATGGATGACGAGTAATCATCATCATTATTCCATATATTAGCTAGAAATGAAAAACATCCCAGCTGTTGGGTTGCAACACAGTCAGTCAGTACGTAGAGCTTAAAAAAGCTCTAAGTACCCAAATGGGTGCATTTTCAGCATTTTACATTGTCAACAATAAATACATCAGAGGGTTACCAACAAAAATATTAAGTTATTAAATGAGTAGAAAAATGAGAAGAGCGCACTGTCATCACTCGAGTTATGATCGATGGATCAAGCAACAATTCGATACTGCTGCACCAAATCTTCGGAGTTTGCAGCCAAACAAAAACGGAAAAGGTTTCGTTGAAATCTTTCTTTATACTTCGTTTCAGTTGAGGTGAAAATTTGTGTCCAAAGACGGTAGAGCTGGGATCGTGCGCGATATCTCGGCGTTTATATTCAAAAGATGACTTTGCAAGTTAATTGAACAAAATGTCCGTCAGCTTATTCCTGCAAAACTGATATATCTACAGTAGATAACGTAAGATATGGTGTTCGACGAAAAAGGCAACGGCCGGTTTAAAGGTCAACGATTCAAGGTAAGTACATGCTTGTAAAAGAGAAAAACGCCATAGAGGTCCTACGAGTGTTCCCAAACAAATTTACTCATCGTGTTAAGGATCCCAACGCGAAAATCGGGAGGCGCCAACCGAGGCCAACTTTGTAATGACAGCATTCGTTCCGGCTGTGGCTTTTTACTCAAAAGTCGGGATCAAGATATGGTTGGGAGCAGTTGCAGCTCGAAAGTTAGATTGGGTGCACCGCAGAGATCTGCTCGACACTGGGTACAAACAAAATCAGGTCCGATACAAGTCGTGCATGGATGTTAGCACGGTCAGATGCTAAAACTGCGATCCCAGCCAATAACACGCGGGTAAAAGGCTGTTTGACTTGCCGTATGACAAAAAGACAAGACAGATTCGATTTTTCATCGTCGGAAACAATCCTTGGTGTTTCTAGTGAATGTTAATCGAGCTGAGCCCAACGTGCGCAAACTGCTGGTTCTAACAGCAATGCATGGGGAGAGGGGGACCTTCAACCTCCTGTGAGGAAGATGATGCGAATGAGACTATTCAGCGGACTTGATTGGATAGGTGAATTACGTAAATAAACGCAGTAAATTCTAGCTTGGGCTCAATACAAAGATTGCTGGCTACCGCTCATCCATAGCAAACTAACCCATCTTCCGAGAAAACACGGCGGGGTAAAAACAAAACTACAAACATGCGAAACGACAACGAGAAATGATGGTAACAGCCGGACGATCAGATAATGTAGGACTCGTCCATAAGAACTGCACACTGAGTGACAGCAGATGGCTGCGGAAAAAGACATGATCAAGTGTGAGAATTCATCGGACAGCGGAAGATTTTGTATGCACGTGCGGATAGTTGTGCAACTGATGATTGCACTTTTTGCCTAGTTCAGTATCAACAAATGTAACGAACACATCAAACCGATCAATCCCGAGGGTGCACGGTCTATTCTACCACGACTAGTTCGGCGGTGGGTCTTGAGCTCACCGACATCCATAGTTGGGTGAAAAAATGAAAAGATGTATGACTTGAACGCATCATCAGCCGATGCATGAAAGGAACAGTATACATAGAGCACTTGTCATGCAACGTCCCTGCAGTTCGACTACACCTGAACGACCGAACATGAAATGTCGCACGACTGGTATCAACACCTGTGTACTATGCGTATAGTAACAAGGCTTCTACCGCCCGGGAGTCGTCACATCGATTATTGGCTTGGTGGATCGGAGCGAATTGCTGCCGGGACAACTTCTGTGATAGCGCCAAGCTCAAGGAATGGTTCAGCCATAAAATGGGTATGGACCAGCCACAGCTTGATGCAAGCCTGCTAGGCATGTCATCTCAAACAGTACATCAATGTGCAACATGAGTTAAAGTTCTGCCACCTGAGAAATTGACATATGTTGAGCATGCGGATAACACAGTTCTCCTGTGGTCGGATCGAGCGGTTATGCAAGCGCTGTGAATGGGCTGACGCGGAGCATTGTAGGCTTCGGCATGCGCTTGGCACCTTCAAAGCGCAAAAGCTGTTGTAGGACTGGGTTGAAACACCGATTCTACTATCGCTAAACAACTACCTGAAATTGTTGGTCGGTTTACTTACTTTAATGTTCAAATTATTGTAGAGCAACTTGATGTGTCAACAAACATTCTGTGGCTTTTCAGAGGTTCAGGCATCCACGGAGAGAGCAGAATAACAGCATATCCACTGCTTATGAAGCAGCGATAGGATCGTCACATAGTATCGTTACATCGTGCTAGAGAGATTAGGAGACTGGCCCTCATTGGCACTGGTTTGCAGATTAATGCTTACAGCCGGCTGAGCAATGTTTAGGTTCATCAGTTGTTGTTTGGAAAGAAATCCTCTAATGTCGCACTGGAGTGTCTACTAAGCTAGAACATTCTACGCTGGCTAGGTCGTTTCCGGTGTGTTAGGTGACCGCCTACACCGACATGTACTACGAGATGATCGATGGATGAGGTGGAATAGCAGAATGAAGAAGGCGATCGCGAGACCTGATCAGACTAGCACCTAGATAAGGGTCTCGGGATGAACCACATAAGCGCACAGAAATCTTGCCGGACAGTGCAGTCAAGGACACAGCGCTGTTTCTGCATTTACCTGTTGATATTCTATCCTGATTAACTTTACACATCTCTTTTCGAATACCGTTTTCTTGGTGTTCTGCCGACGTTCTCACGCATTTCCTCGCCACTGGCAACGCAAATCATGATTGTTCAACTGAACCGAGATGCTGGTCTTAGAGATATCAAATGACGTGGTACCTTTCACGCCATGACCATGGAGTACCAGCCTGTGGATTCCTGCACTCGTGGTTGAGATGTGTGTTTAAGGGGGAGAGGGAATGGGTCCAAAAAACAGCAACTGTAAGCTGCACGCCACTCTACTTTGATGTGTCAGTATTACACCATGAGTGTGCAGGGTTACCTTGCTATTGTGCAACCGCGAATGACTGTACGAGGGATAAAAGACTAGACAGGATTCAATTGTTTATTTGTTCTCCGAGCTTCGCAGTTTTGTCGCAAACGTTTCACCACTATACAGGAGCCCAAATTCATGAAGAAGCGGGGTCTCGAACTTGGGAGACAGAGGTCGCAAGCTAAATAGCTGAACAATTACACCACCGATCCTCATTCGGTTTTCGGACTCGCGCTGCATGCGGGGCGAGACGGTGGTGTAAAGCAAGGCCCCGTAGATCAGTGATGATGAGTGTATTCCGCGGGTGTTTGTCTCTAGAGAGAGGTAAGCGAATAAGTGCAGTCTGGCATGAGAGGCGTATGATTCACAATCTTCAGGTTACCAAGTATCACGCTCCCGGGGCATCAGTTACACTACACCAGTTTGGTGAGTATCACTCTCCCAGCATGCATACTTCAAGAGGTGATTGATCTAGGGGCCTGATGTGGAAAGTGCAACCCTGTTTTCAGTTTACCTTATGCATTCTATTGGGTTGACAGGTTAAGCGTTTCATTCCTCAGCTCCCATGCAGCCTTCATGTAGTCGTTCGGTTAATGCTGGTGTGTCGAGAAACCATGTGACATAATGATAGTGTAATGAATCCTAAAATCGAATTCAGTCTAAAAAAACAGTGTTGCGCTGTGACTGATAAAACGTCTTTTGTGTGAATAGGCGAAACGCAGTAATGGAGGATGGAGTGAGTTTTCGCAAAAAGTAAGCGCAGCCCCAAGGAGTGCTCTCCAAAGGGTGAACAGCTTCATTGTCATATACCGATGAGATCGACGCGTACCTGGATGACTCGGGCTACCGGCATCGTCACAGAAAAGCAAATTTGCAAATCCTTGTGTAGCTGAGAAATGAAAAACAAAAAGTGATAGTACTGGTGACTGAACGTTGAGCACTTACAAATTGTTGTTCCCGATGCACTGGGTATCATAAGAGTCATTCAAATAGGATCCTGTGAACCGCGTCACGTCACAGCGGACGGACTGCGTGTGATTTTGACATCGGACGACAGAGGGCGAACTGGAAGTTTGAGATTCTAATGTTCTGATAAGCTGGTGGTATTCTAAAATGTAAAGAGAAGTATAAGGGAAGTACAGGAAGTCAGGAGGACTATGAGTGATAAATAAAGTGTTAGTCAAAGGTTAGTGTACGAATTCAGTGACACACAATCCCTGACGCTATCCGCAGCAGAAAGGGGCCGATGAGCAGTGATTGTGGTGGCCGAGCAAAGTTTATGTGAACATTCTTGTTGCGACGTTATAAGCGGCAAGCAGTCTTGGGCGCAGTCAGGTCAGGGGCAAAAGATATCGACGTGCAGATGTTGAACTCTGAAACAGTTCGCCTGAGTTGTGTGCGTGGAGTCAAACTTAGTAGTTTCAACGAGAACCTCTCTGCTTTTTCTAGATGGAGCCATTAAGAAGTACGCAAATGCTGTGTGACAGGCATTAGGACGCGTGCTAATTCACAATTGCCTGCACTGTCTGTGCTACAGCTTTCGAGCATTTGTCCACGGCATGCCCAGGGAATGCTGAGGGCGGACAAGGCGCATGATTAGATGAAGTCCCGGAGTGGTCGGTTAGTGATGCAACAGAAAGGAATGCAACACAGCTTGAATGAGCTATGTTGGTGCGTGCAGCTTGCATGCATAGTAGCCTTGAGATCCATAACAGGAGCGCTTGAATATTGAGCAAACTACAAGGTCAATGGTGTCCACGCGAACGATCAGATGCATTTAGTTAACAAACTCTAGATTCAACAAACCCAGTGTTCCATTTGACAGATTTCTCGTTCTCTCGTCGCTAATGAGTGAGGGAATATAGGTTCGCTACACTAGTGTTAGGAATCAGAAACTGCTAGTTGATCCAATTAGATAAACCCGTAAAGAAAGCTGAGAGAATCGCAAGAACGCATAATTACCCATGGCTTTGTAAGCAACGCAAGAGGGCAGCGATCCACGCATAGGGCAATACGAGGTAAACAGGTCATCAACGACAATGACAAAAGGTGTGTGCCAAATCGCTCTGATTAACCACAAGAATAGGCGAATGGGTGGCTGTGAAGTAAACCAAGAAATAGCGTAGCAGAAACTCCTGAGGTAGTTCGCTACAAGCTGTAGTAAAAGACGTATCAATGTTGTACATGTTTTGTTGTTGATTCGTCTCCAGATGCCTCACAATCTGTCGACCAACGGCCGTGGCCTGTACGCCTGACTTGCAATCGTAATTTCACTGGTTCGAATCCGCGTAGGGGCGGGCGTCCTCGCGGTATACTCAGCCCACGCGCGACCGATGGTAGTCACGCATCACCGAAGCACCCTTACGGCGTACAGCTGACACGCTACTTACATTACAAGATACGCACGAAAAGCAGACGTGTATGAAAAACTACAGCAACGCAGCGCTGTTTCACACGCGTGGCTGAGGCGCGCACAGAATGACGTTAAGCATGTGGCTTGTGTGGTTAGCTGCAGACGTGGTTGAGTCTTCGTAAAACGTAGAGCAAGTGCCAGAAAATGAAAAGTAAAACGGTAAACTGAGCTCACTACGTAGAAGACAATGTTTAACTGGAATTCACGGGTTCCCATATTAAAACGAATCAATCGGAGTATACCTTCGTCAACAAAATCATGGATTCTGGGGCAATTCTCCAGGATACCCGGAGAGTAAATAAACACATCATAGTAATTCACATGAGAAGACCACAATCGGCGCGGAAGAACTGTTGCGACGTCTTGGCTTAGGATACAGCGCTCAAGTCAGAGCAAAAGATTCAGCTTGTGGGAACAGTGCTCGACGCAGACAAGTGGCTTATCGACGCGCTTGTGCGACTTAGTGGCCCAGAGATTTCTATTTGATTGCACCAAGAATAACGCTGACCCCACCCGACTACTCGAGTGGAAGCGTTTTTACGGCTCAAATCAAAGACGACTCACAGTCTGGTATTTATAATACGGCTATCCTTGTTACCCGAAGATAGTCGTCATGACGACACAATAGCCGCAAGATAACGGTCCACGGAGCAGTTCGCAGGGTAACGTGATCGCCAACGGTAAACGGTATCACTATCACGCAGTCGATGGCCTGGCAACAGTGACTTTGGGAAGGGAGCGGAAGTAATTGTCATCTGATAACATTGTTACTGACTAGGCATTGCGCAATCATTCAATGGCAATTGTGTGGTAAAGTTTGAGGTTGGTTCTGCGCCAAATTTTCAAGGAACCATGAGAGCTCCACAACAAAAACACCAGGAAAAACTTATAGTGAAGGGGCCTTCCGATTGGTCTTTAGAAAGACCTGCTAAGCGGGAACCTTCCATTTGGTCCGCACAAAGAATGGTGATAGGTAGGAAAGTAAAGCGGCCATTCAAGGTACACCACGTGACTGGACGGCCCTCTGCTCATTCGCCGCGTGAAAAATTGTTGTGGACTAGCTCAAGATCGCGCGATCACTCGTTCGTGGGTGGGTGGTCGGGAACGCTTAAGCCTAAGATAAATTGTGTGTCAAGCTGAGCGATGTGCGGCAACGTAAAAAAACGCGTGGCTTTCTGCACAAAATAGATTTTGGTCGATATCTAGCTTGAGTCTTGCTTTTACGAAAAGCCACACGACAGAAGGGATGCCCCGCCACAGGAAGGTATTGGGAGGACAGAAAGAAATCGCTAACTGATGAGTCAACGCTCGTCCTAACCCGAAGTAGCACAGCAAGTAAGTAGAGTTGTCAGTACGAAAGAATACAAAAGGTATGCTGGGACGTACAACTGTGTTGGAACCGTGCACCCAGAGACGTTAGCCATCTGTGCTACAATCCACCGCTGAGGGCTCGGAGTTAGCGACCTCGGGAGACGTCTCTTAAGAAAAGCTCCTATTTCGGCATCAGAAACTCACGGAAGCGCTTGAGAAAACATGGAAGTAAGCACGCCAAAGACATCGAGAATGTGCACCCGAACGAGAGGAAGGGATATGGGATTAAAAGTGAGGGACTTACGCACAGGATTGTACACCAATACAAGCCTCAGAGTGCACACAGGTACGGGCATCCAGGCGTCATCGGACGCAGACGAATAGGAAGAAGAGGAGAAGGAAAACGAGGAGGAGCAATCAGCCGCTGCGACACATCCGAATGAGTGGATCAGTTGGATGACCTCACTAGGGCTGAGGCCATCGACAGAATTTCCGTTTATGGATAAGAGCTGATCAGCACGGCGAATTTGTTGGCGTCCTGACAAACCACTCATGCTAGAAGAAGATGAGACAGCAGAAGAGGAAGAAGAGGATGGATAGGAAGAGGAACAGATTGAAGGAGAAGTTGGCTTTCCGGCAGGATTCCATGCGTTTGTTTCCAAGGCGCTGGCGAACTTCGAATCCACCTGGAAGTAAGCGAGTAGGAAGGAGACAGGGAGTGCATATGAATGCAATAAGAGCAGTATCGGAGATGTATCGAGTATAGGGGAAAGGCAGGTCATGAGACCGAGTTTCAACGCTAATGGAATTCAACAGATTAAGTAGCAATACGTAATAAGGATCGAAGTATCATGAATATGTTAGTCGCTCCGAAGCAGCTACCATGTAGAGCAGTGGTACACAACCTTCTTGAGATTGATACCCACAAAGCGGGTTCAGTATAAACAAGTAAAGCCAAAAATGTTAGGAGGATACCGCAATTTCTGCTTTAAATTACGGAAAAGGATTATTAGGTTTATTAACTTCATTCAAATAAAATGCATTTCTTTTTGATCAATTTTTTATTAAATCAATGGCTGACGTAAGTTAATGAGACGGTTGATATTGCATAGTTCTAACAATTTCCAATATATTTCGGTGCGGTTTCGGCTAATACACATCGTAAGTAGTGCTCCAAGTTCATTCGGTTCTTGCTCTGGTATAAGATCCCATATCAAACATGAACAAGTGTGAGCGGCTTCCCAGTTGTTTCAATCATCTATTCCATTCTGCCTTAGATGACAGCTTTCCACCACAAGTCTGTATCAACATGTTCTGAACACCAACATATGTTGTAAACATTCGGTCGCTTTTTTACCTGGGCGGCTGAGCTATACTCTCACCTCAGTATTTTCTCAACTCTGTAAATCCACCAGCGAACGGCCGCCAGACTAAAAAAAACGAGTGAGCAGATACAGGCGCCATCTAGCTTCGTGGCTATTCAGGTTGGTATCCGAACTTTAGGCAATACAATTTATTGCCTAAAATGTCAAATTCACTAACCATTCACTAATAGTTAGTCACTGATGGATAATCAATAGTGATTAAGCAGTTAGTTAAGTGATTTTATACAGAGGATGTTGCTGATATTGTTGTTTAACGACATATTGATGATCCAATCATCGGACTTACATTTAACCCCAGTAAAATTCTATTTTACCCTTCTGGGGGTAATTACCCCAAGGTTGAGAACCACTGATGTGGAGGATCAGACTGTGGCTTTTCGCCATGTGAAAGGCGCGTGAACTGAATGATAGGTCAGCGGCTCCCTACGGGTGCGAAACACTCAATTCGCCCTGCTGCCTTGTGAGATAGGCTTTTTCGCCAAAAGACGGGTGCGGTGGTCTCCAAAAACAACCTGCCTACTTCGGTCAAGGCAACCGGGTAGTATCATCTCGCATACATGTGATGGGACCACACAAATACGCACACCCTCTTTAGCTCTCAGGATAATCCACCGTCCATCTACCACACCAACTTATAAACATCCCCCTAATTTGCCCACGCTTCGTTTGTATAATAATAATAATACTAAAGTTCCCGTGTATACACGAGACACACCAGTGAAGTCAGTTTTGTACAGTCAACAATGTGCCGACCACAGTTTGATCGATGGTTAGTCCTGATAAGGAAACTGGGAAGATTCATATAGTGCCAAGTCATAATGTCGTGGGGCTGTGATAACGATACGAAATTACATGTGATTTTCGTGTTTTGCAAATGATATTTGGTCACTGTTAGAAATGTATAGCAATGGGGATTTCGCGGAACGGTGAATAACCCTATCTCCGCGGATGAATTTGTTCCTTTACTAGCTGTCAACTCAATCACACAGTCCTCGAGAGGGATCTGCCCGCTCCGAAGTCTGCCATTTTCGCTCCCACAACCTGGAACGCAGTTCCAACTAGCAACGTGCGCACATTACTGCAAATCGAACAGCAGGCTGGACTTGCACGCACGCTGGAGACCCTTGCAATTGATCTCTACCGCCAGAGTGAAACAAGACCCCAGGATTCTAACCCAGTCTACTAGCTGTCACCACCACTACCCCTACACATCCGCTTCCACCTCCGCCTTTTCGAGGACGCTGTCTTTCGCATCTGGACAAGCAAGTGTTGGCGTCACCCTCAGTGATAGAGCCGCGGCCGACCTTAATGATCACAGAAATAAATGACATATTTCCCGATCGTATGAGATACAGACCGATCATGTGGTCTGATCATTTTGTACAGTATGATAGAATAGTGTAGAAAGTTCGCATTTTCAACGGTCCCAGTGGAGTGTCAGGAGTGTTCCACTATTAAAAAGTAGTAAACCATGGAGAGTTTGAGAGTGAGTATAAATGTAAGTATAGCCGGCAATTCAATTAAATTAATACGGCCGTCTATAGAACCGTTTGCTGGGGACCTGCTTCCATGCGGCGTATTGCCTCCAATCAACAGTTGCAATTGTGCAATAAGGTTCCGGGGTTCTTGCATGATCAGCAGGTTGAGAACGCAACGCGGGTTATGTATTGACAACCCGTGGCTAGATGTTATTTTGAATATAGAAACTCGGGACTACTTGCGTACTTCCTTCGTCGTACCATTTCGACTGTCCGTTATGTTGCACTCCTTCACTCGTAACGAATCAGTGGAGATAGATTTTAGATTCACTTGTCTTTTATCGTGTTGATTTGTACACCACGCTGCCTTCATCCGCAGTGATCCCCGATTTCACTGATTTCCTTGCGCCACCTCGTTTCCACACATACTCATTACAACATAAGTCGAGTCGAGAAGGGTGCTCTAATTGTGATCACCATCTACACGCCCACTGACTGCAGCCCGGATAAAGTTAAGGATAAGTTCTATCAACACCTTCATGAGCTGCTCCTAAGGCCGCCTAAAACAGTCATCGTTGTTATGTTAGGAGATTTCAACTCATGTGTCGGTCGGCTGCTGCCATGTGGACGCCAGCTCGGCGGACCACATAGGTATGATAACATTCGTTCCGACAACGGAGAGAGACTACTCAGTCCGTGTGCTGATCATCCACTTCTCCTCTCCAGCGCGAGTTTTCGTCACCCTACATGACATCGTACTAAGTCAACCCAGAACTGGCCACAAATTGGTCATCTAACCATAAGTCGCAGGTGATACGGCTGCGTACGCGATTTCCGATCATTTTGATCAACTTGCGGTGAACCCGAGTGTTCATTGGTTTGAGCGAGTCTGCATGAGTTTAGGTGGTACACTTATGTCCAAACAAACCCGACTGAACATCTACAATTTGGAGGACTCAACAATGAAAACGGAGTACCAATAAAACCCCTTCGCAAAAATATTACTCTCTCCCCTACTCTGGATGCTGACCAGCACTGGTCAGGTTTGCAACAAGTCATGCTAGCCGCCGGTTTGTCTAGCTGCAGCATCGCCAGCTGTACAGCCAAATGCTAGATATCGGCAAGATCATCGGAACTGCTGAATCGTTAACGTGCTGTGTCTGCCAAACCAGAGGACAAAGAAGTGCGTCGGTCTAGTTCTCAAAGGCTAAAATCAAGCTTTCTTTCCTATCTCGGGATGGCCTATACCAATGGTAGAAGACACTCAGACAGTCAGCAGGCACGCAATCAGTGGCGCACCTGCATTAGATTTCTTGCATCCAGTTGTTAGTTTCGATTCATTCTGATGGGTCTAACGCACCGACTTGTTTCCATTCTCCTTACATACTGCGTACATTCTCCCCCCTACTATCTTGCCGTTGTTATTTTAGGTTATTCTCGCGATGGGAGTCGTGGCAACTGGATCCACCGCACTTCGGTGCTTAGATCATGGTTGTTACACTGAACTAAACTGAATTTCGCTACGACCGTGAATCCGAGTGGTCACAACGAGCTGCTGAGATGGAAGCCGCTGTAGCGGCTAAAAACCTGCACAGTTTATTTTGCCTCATCAGGGCCAATGGTTGCAAATCACACGTTATCAGTCAGACACTCTGTGAATCAAACGGCACGAAAACTACCAGCTTGCACAGGTGGCGCTTAGGCTGCCGGGCTGAGCAGTTTGCTGTTCCACTTATCGTATCAACCAGGCACAGCCTCCTGTGAGGTCTCCGTTTTTCTCGGATGGTCCTTGATCTGTCCCCACAGATCCTCCTACCGAAGCAGAGATCTGATTCGCAATCCAATTTTCGAAATGTCACAGAGCTCCCGGCCATGACAGCCTACTCACGGCCGTATTCAAAAATGGCGGGATTCCACTTGTTAGCAAAATCCTGTGGCTGTTTACAATGGCGTGGACTGACTAGAAGGTTCCAAAATCATGGACAGAATCGGTCCCGATTCACAAGAAAGGCTCCCGCAAACATCGTGCCAATTACCGCGGAATTTCCTTCATCTATGTTGCGTCCAAGAACTTCACGTCTTCCCTACTTCGCTCTCGGTTTTCGTCCAGACTGAGGTTTCATCGACCAAATCTTCACACTTCGTCGAGCTCTTGAACTCCGTCACGTTTACCGATGGCGAACAGTCATAGTGTTCTTGGACATGCGAGCAGCATCTGATTCACTATATAAATCCACGTTGTGGTACTGTCTACTAAGGAAGAGCGTATCCGACAAGTTTGTAACCATCCTAGAGGGACTTTGCAGTCACAGGTCGAGCAGTCAGTGCTTACGTCATACTTTCCTCTTGGTTTGCAGTCACCAGCGGCATTCACAAAGGTTGCCCAATTTATGCGTTCCTTTTCAATTTTGCCATTGAAGATGTCGTCCGACGAGCATTGGAAGGTGTCCAAATCTGTGGTATTTGGCCTTTCCCTGGAGACAGACTCGACGACATGGACTACCTCCATGATATCGCTTTGCTTGTAGACGATTCACAGGGTATCAAGGGCGCTTTGATCCGACCAGCGATAGAGGCGTATAAATATGGTTTGAATTTCATCCCAGGCAAATGTAAAACACTACTGCAGGAGTAGTAGGTGGCTGCCCTCAGCATTATTGGTGGCATTCTGAAACAAGTTCCTTACAACTTACACCGTTGGCGGCGGTGTTGGAGATAAGATCTCACAATGGATCGCAGAGTCATGTTTTGCATTAGTCAAACTGAGAAACATATGTCGTCCCGATGTCAGTCACAACCCCAAGGGTAGGGTGTACAACGCCT